CCTTTAGAGCAAGTAAAGGTTTTTAAGTATCTAGGAATATATATAGATATACCTGGAAGAAGCATGTTGAGGAAATAGATAAAAAAATGCAGGAGGATTTTAAATGTGATCAATGAAAAGAATCAGTGTTATCAATATATCAAGCTTTGATAAGATCTATAATCGATTACGGATGCATGCTTTATTAAGGAGTCTAGATAGGATACAGTACAGAGCTCTTAGAATATGATTAGGAGCAGCTAGAGCAACACCCACCAATGCGTTATGAGCAGAGGCTAATCTCTCTCTCACACACACACACACTCTCTCACACACACACACACCAGAGAGTGTGTGTGTGAGTGTGTGTGTGAGTGTGAAGACAGAGGCGAGCAGCGCACAGTATTTCTCACACTTACACACACACCAGACACTTCTCTAGAGATCCGGCGACACACACGGTGTGTGTGTGTGTTTGATTGTGTGTGTGTGTTTGTGTTTGATTGTGTGTGTGTGTGTGTGTGTTTGTGTTTGATTGTGTGTGTGTGTGTTTGTGTTTGATTGTGTGTGTGTGTGTTTGTGTTTGTTTGTGTGTGTGTGTGTTTGTTTGTGTGTGTGTGTGTTTGTTTGTGTGTGTGTGTGTGTGTGTGTGTTTGATTGTGTGTGTGTGTGTTTGATTGTGTTTGATTGTGTGTGTGTGTGTGTGTTTGATTGTGTGTTTGATTGTGTGTGTTTGATTGTGTGTGTTTGATTGTGTGTGTTTGATTGTTTGTGTGTGTGTGTGTTTGATTGTGTGTGTCTCTTCCTGAACATTTTTTTTTGCTTTTCTATAGCATTGAGCCTCAAATGTTAACTATACATTGGTTTGTTTGTTTTTTAAATAAAATTTTTTTTTAAATGATAAATTGTTAGATATTTAGTAGAAGTACAAATGCACATCAACAGATAGAATTAATAACAAAAATACTGTAATTGTATTCCATTACTACTTTAACGTATTAAGTACATTAATAACATTAAATTAGAATATCCTACTTTTCTGTCACAATACCATGGTTACCGTTAGTGTTACTACAGTATCACCATTGTGACTGGTCACTGTATTAAACACATTGCTCTAAGCTTGCGCTGCGCTGTTTTTCTTTTGAGCTGAGCCAATGATAGGTCTGTGGTGCGCCGTTCAAACGAGTTGCGGTATTTCGTTCCACGGTTGGTGTTTAATAGGCTATCTATTAGGGCTGTGTATCACCAGCAAAGTCACGATACAGAGGCCACGATACGTATCACGATACAGGTGCCATGATACGATACATATCACGGTACATTTTGTATCGGTGTACATAGGCCATGATACGATACACACCACGATACAGAGGCCATGATATGATACATAGGTCACGATACGATATGTATCACAATACAGAGGCCACGATACGATACAGATGTCACGATACGTATCCCGATACAGTACGTATCACTGTACATAGGCCACGATACGATACATATCACGAGACAGAGGCCACAATACGATACACACCATGATACAATACAGATGTCACGATACGTATCCCGATACAGTACGTATCACTGTACATAGGCCACGATACGATACATATCACGAGACAGAGGCCACAATACGATACACACCATGATACAATACAGATGTCACGATACGTATCCCGATACAGTACGTATCACTGTACATAGGCCACGATACGATACATATCACGAGACAGAGGCCACAATACGATACACACCATGATACAATACAGATGTCACGATACGTATCCCGATACAGTACGTATCACTGTACATAGGCCACGATACGATACATATCACGAGACAGAGGCCACAATACGATACACACCATGATACAATACAGATGTCACGATACGTATCCCGATACAGTACGTATCACTGTACATAGGCCACGATACGATACATATCACGAGACAGAGGCCACAATACGATACACACCATGATACAATACAGATGTCACGATACGTATCCCGATACAGTACGTATCACTGTACATAGGCCACGATACGATACATATCACGAGACAGAGGCCACAATACGATACACACCATGATACAATACAGATGTCACGATACGTATCCCGATACAGTACGTATCACTGTACATAGGCCACGATACGATACATATCACGAGACAGAGGCCACAATACGATACACACCATGATACAATACAGATGTCACGATACGTATCCCGATACAGTACGTATCACTGTACATAGGCCACGATACGATACATATCACGAGACAGAGGCCACAATACGATACACACCATGATACAGAGGCCATGATACGTATCACTATACAGATGTCACGATACAATACGTATCCAATACAATAATACAATATACGTATGATACACGCCACGATATGGGACTGCACTGAATTTCACCTCGAGTACAATATTCTGATTGTTTGCATCTTGTTTTTAAGCCCATAACTAATAATGTACTCGTTCTAATAAATTTATATTGTAATGTACTCAATCTAATATATTGAAAAATTAAATTTACATTGCTGGTAGGTTATTATTGCACAAATTAACACTCTCTCTACATTTCTAAAAAATTTAATTAAGAATGAGAGGAGTTCTAAACTAGTACGCTGTCTTCTGTATCTAACGCACACACATATCACGTTGCGCGTGCGCACAGACATTCAGGAACAAACTTTTTAGCGCTGCCCCACAATTTTATCAACTAAATAGCTTAATCGCTGAAGAGGTACAATATCTTTCTCAACAAGGAGCTGGTAACATCATTGTTTCTACAGCAATTAAAGCCACAGCTTCACTGTTAATAGAGAAACGCGGCAAAACGGTGGTTTGCTGTAGCCTATATATTATTCTCTATTCATTATTTTTTAGAAACCTTGCACTTTTCTACTCCGTTTTAAGCATTGTTCATGTATTAAAATTAAGCGCGGTCCACTGCAGCACGCGTGCCACAATAGCGATACAGGGCCAGCTGCAGCGATACTCGTATCGTCAGATCTCTGTGACGCTACATCGTCGTATCGAACACGGCACTACTAGCGGTCATGCACAACAGAACGACTACGACTATCAGTTAGACAAGATGTCTCTTATCCAGCGTTTTTGAGTTCGTTAAACCCCACTCTGCAAACACACTCCTTAAGCACACAGAATAACGAAACGGACATTTATTTGTGTAATCGCGGCTTCCATCATCATAATCGCGATTAGAAATTCGACTTAATTGTGCAGCCCAATTTCTAATCGCGATTAGAAATTCGACTTAATTGTGCAGCCCTAACACGGGGGCAGAAGGGAAAAATATGGATTGATACTGAATGAGCACATGTTAAACTGATGTGCTCTTTGAGTCAATGCTGTAAAGTTTACTATAGTAATATAATGATTTGCAGAGAGACAACACTTAGGCACTTAAGTTGGAGGGCATCTGCTTCACTTGCATAAATGCTTAAATACGTAAATTAATTTAAAAACACACAGACTCAGATTTATTGTTGATTTTTGCAGATCTGCTGCTTCCACACAGAAATTCATGTCCAGTGAAGCTCGTCCCACATCGATCACACCGACAGTGATTTCAGCAATAAATGCTGGAAGATCTCCATCAGTTCAGAAGTGCAGACGAGCATCAGAGCATCAGGAAGAGCTGAGATCTGGGTTTATTAAAGAGGACGGAGACAAGATGAGAGATCCAGAGCCCTGCAGAATCAAACACACTGAAGAACTAAAAGGTTGGTGTTTGTTCTTGATTCTTCGTTCGTTCATGATGCTGAAGAACATTCATGTTACAAAGTTTCAAGCACTTCATCAGATCTAGATGAATATTTAAGCTATGCATTTCGTGAGACTTGTGGCGGGCAAGTGACGTCACATACTAATTAGCATATTTATGACGTCTTGCATTGGGTTTGCGTTCAGACGAGTTGCCCAATAAAGCTGTTCTTGTTTACATATTTTCTGTTGTCATAAATAGTGACTAAACACGACCCATTAATACTACTCGTTAACTAGTAGTCACGCTCACTATACTCCTTAAATCATGATTTATAATCGCGACAGACGAACTATGCTCCTATTTAAAAGTCCAAACATTCAGTAAGCAACAGGTGCTGTTCTGTACTCGTTTACTGACGACTCTGCTGCGGCACGGCCAACAGTTCGCAAAGAGCTTGATTGACAGGCGAGCTGACCAATCAGAACACAGATATTATGCGCTGCCGCTGCTACCGCCATTCTCTCCATAGAAATCCATGTTAAAACGGGGTCAAAAAAGATCAACTGAATTGAAACTTTTTCAGTATAACTAAATATAAAAATGTGCGGAGGGTTAAGCTTTGCTATTGTTGGCTCTCGCGCGGAAACCCCAAATACGCCCGGCAGAAGAAGCCCAGGAAATCCCTGTAGCGGTTGCTGAATAAACAGAAGATTCAACTGCTTTCATTGATTCGACGTGACTAATAAACACACGACTACGGCAATATACGGTTTATCTGAGTTTCATCATAATAAAGTATATCTATAATGCAATGCTAATTAACATAGCCTTTATCACGGCTTAGAATGCTATGAAATATGTTGCGTGCCGTATTCTGTGGAAGAAGCCACGTCATCTCACAGAAGGATTTATTTCAAACACTCGACTGATGTTATGAAGTGAGTTTGGAGTGAAAACATGTTATTAAATGTGGTATTTCCACGTGCTTTCAGATGGAGCAGCATTTACTACACAGCCGTAGTTCACTGAGAAGCTACGCAAACAGCTGTCATTATCGCGAATGATTTCTTCGATTTCATAATCGTACGATTATATCGTCTGCGATTATGAACACGATTTTGCGTAGCTTGTCAGTGAACTACGGCTCTGTGTAGTAAAT